AATAAGCTGACTAATATATGATGTTTAGAACAAAGACTAATATTTCAATTGTTTCTTCACAAATACGCATATATGTGAAACTGAAGTGGTGCGGAGATATATGACCGATAATAAAATTAGATTGTAAAGAATGACAATCTCGAGTTGGAATTCTCCATCAATTCGATTTCTTGATGAGCAAATTGTGTTTTATAGGTAGTTATTTGAATATTTCATGCGCGAATAGTGATTCTTCAACTGAGTCATTTGGCTATGCAATCCAGCTGAATTGTCTGGTAACTGACAGGAACAATATGGCCTTCTACCATTACCTTTGCCTACTAGCATAATCGTTTCTTCGATTGGTCCTTCTGGAATGTATTCAAGAGCTATCAAACGAGGACGATGTGCTTCGATACCCATTGATGCACGATTCACTGCTATCATCAGCGGATACTCTCGTTCTATTTCCTGGAAATCTCTCCGTATTTCAAACATTCCAGCCGAGCTTTTAGATGACTTCGAATTGTAAAATGTGTGAATTTTTTGATGCTTGGACGAACTGATAAGGTGAGTGAAATGATGGTCGAGGATCAACACAATGTGAGTGTTCGAGGAGAGTGATTCGCTTATTTGCAACTTCAAACAACGCACTTTTGCATCAGACGTGACACGAACTTTCACACAACCGCCTCGGAATATCTCTTCAACGTATTCGGCCACTTTCGGCGGAGACATCCGTTGCGGATCCGCATCACCGATATCTCGACATACTGTGAAAGCAGCTTCGATCGTCTGAACGAGTCGCAGAAATTTCTGAAAATTAATTTCACTCTTTTATTTACTGAACTCTATAAACTGAACAGCAATTTCGTCAACAATTTTAAAATTTCTCTTACAAATTCACAAATTCCTTCATGATGAACGAACACCGTCAATGTTTTCTGCTCGCAAGTGAAATGTTCAATTCAATTTCAAATGACACAACTAAACTATAGGTTCTTTTAGTCGCTGTATTTGGATAGCTCCAACTCTACGAAATGCTCCAGTCATATCCAGTGCACAGTCAATAAAAATCCCAATTGCTGCCCTGTTTTTATCTTATCACAAATGACTGATTCAAATATATTTATAAATCATCTCGTTCATTTCATCCGATTCATTTGATAACAATATTACACCGTCGATTTGTTAAGAGAACGTACAACCACTCACACTCGCTTCATACGAAACAGGTAGCAATGCAAGTGCTG